ACATCTTCGCGTAAATAAAATAGATCACCTTTCCTTTTGGCAATCATAACAATCTTTCCCTGTGTATCGTAAACAATGGCACAGTCTTTTTCAAACACTACCTTGTAGTTCTTGTTTACAATTTTTGCAACCAATATGAGACTCGTCCTCAGATCGGGCACATACAGTGTGTCGCGTAACTCAATCAACTTCTGATCTTGAGTACTCTTTACCAATACACGCACGTTGCCTCTTCCTCGCACCTTAGCCGTTGCCCCACTCGCGAGATTCAACTTAATATCAGGAACTGTTTTCATGGGCTCAAATAACGCTCTATCACAGCATACAAGTGTTGTACATCTTGTACGCTATCAATGATCCAACTTTTGTTGATTGTTTTTGTCACGGTCTCGTTCGCACTGGTACTTAATATCGTGTGGCTCACTGCAAACGCATCGTCAATACTGTTTGCCGAATGTTTTGCTTTGCTGGTATTCTGACTTGTACACGCATTAGCCTTATGCCCCTTTTTTCCACAATTAAAGCACTTGAGAATAAGTTCCTTTCTGCGTCTTTGACCACCTTGGCTCCGTCCAGCCGTCATCGCAATGACATCACTTCCCGTTCTTCCTTCTTTAACTCGTTGTGTTCGAGGATTTCCACTTTCAGCTCTTCCGGAGACGGTAGAATGTCACGCGTCTCTATCGCTGTACGAAATCATTCATATGAAGCTGGGAGACTGTATAGCAACATGATTGTTTGTAGATTATTGCTAATATTCTCGCCCATATTCTCCAACTTGTCAACTGTGTCGAAGAAATCATTCAAGTGATCTCCGACGTCATCGCCTTCACCTAATTTCCCCAAAGCAACTGCTTGAGTAATGCTGCCCTTTTCGCGGGTTCTGTCGATGCATGAGTGCTCTTCAGCTTCAGCCATACAGCCTTCGATGCCTCGCAATTCTTAATGTCTTTCAACAAACGCGGTTGAATGGACAAAATTACTTCTGTCTTCGCCTTGTCGTCTTTTTCCTCCCAGGACTGCATCGCTTCCGTTGGCGCGACACCCATTCCACGTTCCGGTTTAATCAGCGATCCATCTACGTATATATACCACCAAAATGTGGTGAATTGGGAGGAATAAAATTCTATTTAATACCATGCTTTACGCAGTGATCTGTAATATGTGACTCATTACTTTTCAAAAATGAATGTAATTCATTTAACATGCGTGAAGCGCCTACAAAGTTGGTACCATTATCAGACCAAAATTCACCTGAAAAACCGCGTCTAGACAAGCTAAAAAATTATTTGCCGTTAAATCAAAAGCAAGTTCAATGTGCACCGCTTTAACTGAAAAACAGATGAACAAACAAACATAGCGCTTTGTTATTTTATAACCACGACCCTTGCGGTCTTTAAGTGAAAATGGGCCAGCATAATCAATTCCAGTTACCGAAAAGGGTGCCAAAACACAAACTCGGTTTTTCGGCAGATTTCCCATTAGGTTACTGCATAATTTAGGTTTGAATTTGAAACATATTAAACAACTTCTTATCACCTTTTTCGCTAAAGATGTACCCCTGATGGGCCAATATTTTTGACGAATGGAATTCAATAAAAGTTGTAGACCTGCATGCATTAATTTGCAATGTTCATGTTTAAATAACAATTTTGTAAAATTGCTATTAGCATCCAGCAAAATTGGATGTTTAATGTTAAAAGTCAAATTGGAATGCTTGATTCTTCCGCGAAGCCTGATTATACCGTCTAAATCTACAAACGGAGTTAAGTGACGTAATCGGGCACTCAATTTATTAAATTGACCTTGCTGGATATGTTTAAAATCTACAGAAAACGAATCAGCCTGTGATAATTTAATTAAACATATTAAAGATTTATCCAATTCTTCAACTGAAAGTGAACCGCTTAACTTTAAAAATTTGTTTGACTGCGATATATTACGAATAAATCTAAAACAATAGGCTAAAACACGCCTGGTAAAACTTGAAAATCTATCAAGAATATTGAAATTATCTTGAGTTTTGGTAAGAAGTACAGGTTCACCTTTTTTCATTTCTACATTCTGGTAAATTGATTGGTGGAATTGATTTGAATTTATAAGAAGGACCATCTGAATTAAATGAAAAGAGCCACTTTGGACCATTCCACCAAAGTGAATTATTGATTATCTCATTAGGAAATAAGCCACGTGAACTTAAGTCGACAGGGTTTACGTTGGTATTTACGTAACTCCACTCACAATCATTTGTTAATTGTTGAATTTTGTGAACTCTATTTGCAACAAATGGTTGTAATTTGTAAGGTTCTGTGTGAATCCAATGAAGAATAACTGTGGAATTTGACCAAAGAAAACAAGAAATCTGAAGTTTTAATGAATCATTGGCCATCTTCACTAAGTTTGCTAACAGTAATGCTGCCATTAATTCTAAACGTGGCGTTGTGGTTGGTTTTAGAGGTGCAGCCTTGGTTTTTGAATAGAGAAGTGCAATTTTTGTTACACCAGCAAAATCAACACTTCGTATATAAATGCACGCACCGTAAGCAAGAGTTGAACTGTCACAAAAACCATGCAATTCTATCACCTTTGAATTACCAGAAAAAACATGTCTGGGAATTACAAGGTTATTTAAATTTGTCAATTCTTTACGATATTTTAACCACTTGTTTTCAAGTTCAGAGGGAATTTCGTCATCCCAATGTATTTTTAACAACTACAATTTTTGAATCATCATATTTGTGATTATCAAACAAGGACTAATTAAGCCTAGCGGATCGAAGATTTTTGATATTTCTGACAATAAATGTCTTTTAGTGCATTTAGTATTATTTGTATAGGGTATAATGCTAAATGAAAATTTATCAGTGTTACTGCACCACTGTATACCTAATGTTTTTATAACCTTATCAACAAAACTGAACATATTATCTGAATTAGAAATATTGTTTGTTAGTATATTTAGAATATTGTCATTATTTGATCTCCATTTACGCAGAGGAAAATGAGCATTATTTAAAATACTTATGATTTCTTGACAAACCCTGATAGCTTCTGATTCGCTATCAAAACTAGTAATAAGATCATCGACATAAAACGAATTTTCAATTATGCTTGAAGCTTCTGGAAAAATTTTAACATTTTCAAATACTAACTGTTTAATGCAACGTATAGCAAGATATGGTGCACTTGCAGTTCCATAAGTAACTGTAGTTAAATTGTAAGTTTTTAACTCTTCAGAAGAATCAAACCTATAAACTATTTGTTGAAATTTACGATCATTTGTATGAACTAGAATCTGCCTGTACATCTTTTCGATGTCAGCAGTAACTACAAATAAACACTTCCGAAAATTCAGTAATATTTTAAATACATCATTCTGAATAGCTGGTCCTGTATATTGAATATCATTCAACGAGTATCCACTAGAGGACGAGACAGAGCCATTAAATACAACTCGAATCTTTGAGGTAACACTGTCCTCTTTATACACAGCGTGGTGGAGTAAAAATAACCTAAAATTTCTTCTTTGTTTTCAGTCAATTCCATATGCCCTAATTCCAAGTATTCTTTCATAAAATTATTGTAATCATTTTTTAGCCTAGGATTTTTTTTTAAATTTATTTTACAAATGTAAAAACCGTTTAATAGCTAATGATTTTGAATCACCTAACATAGTTACATCATCCTTAAAAGGAATTCTAACAACAAAACGTCTATTAANTCCAATCCTTTAAGTGTTCCTGTTTAATTAATGGGGGCTTATTTGACAGTTCAAAACCATAATGAAAATATTTGATCCTATAATTTAACATATTCAAAGTAAATAATTGAAGATCAAAAATGAGGTAATTAAGTAAATTTGTCATGTCATAATTACAAACACCCTCAAAGAGGTCATGCATAATATCAACAGCAAAATTCTTTGTAAAATGAAAATTGGAAACATCATTCTATACACACGATTCTTTTAATCCTGATTTTGAAATATTATTTTTTTCCAAATCATTTTCATAAGATTCAGTTGTTCGCATCAAGTTGCTATCTTCCACACAGACTGTAAACGAATCTGTTTTCGGAATCTTGCAGAATCGACATCGAAATGTACTGGAGAAACTTTCCGTAAGACCCATTATTGAATGTACTCCCAAATTATCGCCTAAAACTAATGCTAACTGAAAGTAAATTGTTTCTACCTTCCCGCATGTTAGTACTTCAATTCCACTCTCTCGTAAAAAATTTAGTTCCTGAATCAATGCATTAAAAACGGCGCGATTTCTATATTTTTTACGATTTTCCGACTGAAATAATCCAAATAAAAAAGTATTTCTTAAAGAAGACTTCATTTCTGAAGGAAGTGAAGCTAATGATACATAAACAGCCCCTAATTTGTGTTTTCCTGATTTTGATCCTAAAGGGTTTGCAACTTCATATTCATCAAAAAATAAAAATAATGGAAATACTTGCTTTGAACCGAAATGAACAGATTGCTCCTTCCAAATTTTACCTTGTATAAAGTTACTCTGAACGTTTTCATTACACAACGTCTCCCTATAAAATGTTTTCATGGTTTGCAAAACATTTGTATTTTCAAATAAAGCTTTAAATACGTCTCTTAAAGGTATTATTTCTCCACAACTCACATACGGCTGCAAAGATATTGCATTAGAATTATGTACTGATTTTATTGCTGACCCCAACGAATATGAAATGGGAGGAATATATAAATTACAAGTTTCAAAATATTTTAACCGCTTGTATTCTGTATCAAAACGGCAAAATGAATCAGACAATCCATTCAACACAATTTTGAGAGCAATAACTGTTTGCGGATCTGCATTTAAATTATTTAATTCGTCAATGAACAAATCTTCAAAGCTCTTAATAAAACTTGAAGAAATAAGTTCTTTTGCAGATTGCACTACCTGTTGAATAATATTACGCGGTATCAAGGAATTGTTGTACAGTGTACATATAAACTGAATCACACTTTTATCCTGCTCACTTTGTAAAGTTTCTATTAAAAACTGCAGTGGTTGTTCAGGTTTAGAGGAAATTTCTGTTGAAATATTTGAATCCTGTAGATTATCATCATTCGCTGTTACTTCAGAACGGCCAAGATTTTTAGAAAGTGACTCGAAATTAAAATTATCACGCTCATGTTTTGAAAGGTGTTTTCTAAAAGAATTTATACAAGAAAAAGTTCTAAAACAATTTACTTCTTCACAATAGTATGTCATCAGTTTTTTGCTTTTATGTACTTCTTTTAAATGAAACAAATACGTTTTGACAGTCACAAATGTGTCTCGACAAATAAAACAAATCATATTTTTATCTTCTGTAGAGTAAACTAAACAAAACGAAAACTTTATATTACAATTTTTTATTTTTCTGTCGCACTTTTATCAATATCTGCTATTAAGGTATTTACCCACGACGAAACTTTTCCGTGATTCATACCAAAAATTTTTTTTTTCGATAAAAATCCAAGGAAGCTCTGCTTCAGGTGGATAATTAGCATTTAGGACGTGGTATATTTTAAAACACGTTTCAACAGCCTTTAAAGGTGTTTCGAGTTTATAGTTTATATCATTAATATTAACAAATGAGCACTCAATAGCATTAAAGTTTTCACCAATTAGAATGGTACGGGTTGTGCAGTTAACTTTCGTGAAGCCAATGCTTCCTGTCTTCTTTCCAATACAAGAAACATGTCATTGACATCCTAGTAGTAAGAATGCATGAGTTAATGTAAAATTGAAAAGTACTTTCTCCCCTTTACATGCAGAAGGAAGCCATTTCTCATTTCGATTTTTGATGGTCTCCATTTATCACCATCACGTTTATTTTTTACAGTTAAGCAAGGAAACAAAAGCGGTAAAATAGATAAAGCAAAAACTTCTGTTGCTTCTGCAACAAAACTACATGAAACTGGAATAAAATATAAAAACTAACAGTTTACCTTTTGTACAATTTTGTAATGTAAATTGCGCAATAAGGTCCCTAAGATAATTATCTGTCTTTTTTTGAGCTAATTTGAACACTTTTGTTCCAATATCTGGCCATTTGTTTATTAGACAGTTTTATTTATGCGGAAAAAGTTGATTGAAATTATCTTCCAACTGCAATGTAACCGAAATTATTAAGTACTTTTCTTAAAGAAGGTCTGCATATCAATTGTTACAATTCAACAAGGAACATTCTATTAATTGTAGATACAATTAAATCGGAAACTGTTTTTAAAAGTTAATAACATAAATATGCAGATGTAAAGCCACGTTAATGGAAGAAACTTACCAATGTGAATCCTAAAGGTAGTTTCAAACAAGGAAATGCCTTAAAATACTCAAAGATAGAATAAGTTTTTTGTAAAACAGTTCTACTTTGAAAAGTACTTTTCCAGCGTTCTTTTACCTCAGTAAAAGGTTCTATATTATTTTTTAGCCACTGAATGGCTTCTTCTTCAGGCGTATTTTGTTCTCTAAGTGACGAAACTGTAAAAACAACATTACTTGTACGTCATTTACAACTACATACATACTTTTAAAATTAATACAATTGTGTTGTTATAGTACAAAAAAAAACAATCTTACTTATATTCTTGTTTGAAGATGGTATAAGTCCATACTTTTTATAATGTTTACGTAAATAGCAGTAGGCAGAAAATAGTTTACCCCTAGCAGCTTTGGGTTTTCCTTTATTATTAACATATGGAACATAATATATTTCTGGACTTTCATGGGGGAATATATCGTTTATTTCGTTGGCTAGTTGCATAAATCTTGCAGAAGAGATTCTACAATAAAAGTGCAACGTATATATGATAAAAGTTGTTTCCAAACTAAACAAAAATACCTAGCATCCTTCATTCGGGATAATTCACTTTTTATAACTAATTCAGCCAATTTATTTCTCAAAAAGTCTTTATCTCTGCCGTAACTAGCTTTAATGATTTTTCCTTCATCAGTCGTTTCAATTAAACGTGAAACCGTCTGGAAAATAATGAGGTACATGTAAAATCCATGTAAGAAAATTTCATTTACCGAGGAATCATTACTGCTTGAAAATACAATGTAAGGAGCATTTAGAACGGCTTTGGTGTTAAAAACTGTAGTAGGTGTTAAACTATCGGTAATTTCTTCACAGAGAGACCCGTCAGTTGAAGATCCGCCACCACCGCCGTGTGTGACGGTACATGCAGATGAGAAAGAACGAGAAATATTGGTGTCTTGAAATGACTCACGGTCTATCAACACTGAACTGTTTTGAATTAACTGCAAATTCACCATTTTGGTAATGCGTTACTTGCCTTTTTGTAAATTATGAATTGTAATATAGTACCTTATATTCCTGAAATTTGTGCAGAAATTTTCTGCGAAGTCCAATCCGTGGAATAAGGTCTTTTACGTCGTTTTCCGTTAATAAATTGAAAGCTTCTTCATCAATTCCATGGCCTTAAAGAAATGAGGCGTACACAAACTTCTCAGAGAATGATTAATTTTTACAAAGTTAGACATACAATATATACTGTATATCACTTTAAAAAATGCTTTTTTGCTGTTGTCATTTCATAATCATTTTGTTCTTTACTATTATACCGGGTTTTCCAAGTAACAAATAACGTAACGGCTTATACTTACAGTCATCGGTCACTTCCGTACCGAAAGTCGACACCGACTCTTTTAAATGGAACGCTATATTTTTTTGTATGACATTCTTGGATTCAGAGAACCTTTCTAGATTGATTGAGTTTCAAAAAAATAAAACTTTCGTATGTTACCATTTACAACAATGTAGGTACAATTTCAGATACAGTTAATAACAAGGTAAGTAGTCAAGAAATATGGCGTCAGCACTTTCGATGTTAGCTCAATAATCCACTATTATGGTGATGCAATTTTCAAATTTTGTAAAACAATCGACGCATCTTGAAAAGTACTAATTTTTGGGATACGGTTTTATTATGAATGTCAATTTAAAAAAAATTCGCTGAAAGTCACAAAAACATAGAACTCCACTTAAAGTAAGAAAATGGGTTGAACTTATAATTTAGCGTGAAAAACCCTGTCTTCTGTACACAACATGAAACATTTTATATATAGTTTATGTTTGTAAAAATCATTAGATACCTTCCCACTCATCCGCTAAATCATCAAAACCCCACTCAGACAACTTTCCTCTTGTGAAAGCATCCATTATGAGCAGTAGGCTGTTAAAAAAAACATTACATTTCAGTTGAACGTGAAAGACGGATATGTTTCTATTTTCTTATAAAATTTCTGAAAAATAGGATGCTTCCCTAACAGTTTCACAGTATTTAGATTTTGTAAGCAATCGTATAGCGTTGATCTGAATCATCGCGGGTAGGGCTGGCGTCACCTAAATTACCGACGCCGGATAAACACGGCAAAAATCCCAGAAATCGAATTAAGTACGTATGTAACCGCAACAAATAATAGACATTTTTAATATAATTAAACA